TGATGGTAAGAACATTGGAATATCTCTCCCCCGCACTCCAACGCCCCAATTTCATCTCCCGGCATGTCCCCCTCTCTGTTCCCACACCCCCAAACGTCCCCATTCCCTCTCCCCACACTCCAACGCCCAATTTCATCATCTCCAAGCACCCCAATGTCTCCACACCCCAACGTCCCCACACATTTCAATTCCCTCTCCTTGCACCCCAACGTCCCCTTCCCTCTCCTTGCACCCCAACGTCCCCCCCCTCTCCTTGCACCCCAACGTCCCCTTCCCAATCCTTGCACCCCAACGTCCCCTTCCCACTCCTTGCACCCCAAACGTCCCCTTCCCACTCCTTGCACCCCCTTTTCCTCCCACCACACACCAATGCCACCTTCCTTCTCACCATCACCTGCCAACCCACACCCTAACATCCCGTCCCCTCCCTCTCCCATCACCCCCTCCCAGCACCCCAACCCCGTCCCCCTCCACTCTCCCTGAACCCCAAAATCCCCTTTCCTCTATGCACCCCATCTTCTAGCATATTGGTTGGTTTCAGTTGATGGTATCTCTCCCTGCACCCCCAACGTCTCAATTCCCCGTCTCCCCCCACGCCCCCTTCCCTCTCCCCGAAAACCAAACACCTCTCCCATCATTCCTCCCACCGCACCTCAACATCCCCCCTTCCCCCCCCCCCCCACCCCCAACATCCCCCCTCTCCCTCTCCCCACACCCCCCCTCCCTTCCCCCATCGCCCCCGCACCCCCCAACGTCTCCTTTCCTCCTTCCATCACCCCCTCCCCTCTGTTTCACACCCCAACATCCCCTTCCCATCTCCCGGAACCCAAAGTCCCCCTTTCCTCTCCCATTACCACCCCTTCACCTCTCCCATCGCCCCCTTACCCTCTCCCATCACCCCATCGCGCCCCCCCCTCCTCTCTCCAATCACCCCTTCCCCTCTCGCCCCCCTCCCCCCCTCCCATATCCCCCCCTCCCCTCTCCCATATCGCCCCCCTCCCCTCTCCCATATATCGCCCCCTCCCCCCCTCTCCCCCTCGCCCCCTCCCCCCCCCTCCCCTCTCCCATATCGCCCCCTCCCCCCCTCCCATATCGCCCCCCTCCCCTCTCCCATATCGCCCCCTCCCCTCTCCCATATCGCCCCCCCCCCCCTCCTATCGCCCCTCCCCTATCCCCCCCCTTCATCCCCTCTCCCATATCGCCCCCTCCTCTCTCCCATATCGCCCCCATCCCCCCCCTCCTCCTCTCCCATATCGCCCCCCCTCCCCTCCCCATATCGCCCCATCCCCCCCCTTCCTCTCTCCCATATCGCCCCATCCCCACTCCTCTCCATCGCCCCCTCCTCTCTCCCATATCGCCCCATCCCCCCCATCCTCTCTCCCATATCGCCCCCCATCCCCCCCTTCTCTCTCCCATAACCCCCCCATCCTCTCTCCCATATCGCCCCATCCCCCCCCTTCTCTCTCCCATAACCCCCCATCCCCCCCTTCTCTCTCCCATAACCCCCCCCCCCTCTCTCCCATATCGCCCCCCCATCCCCCCCTTCCTCTCTCCCATAACCCCCCCCCCTCTCTCCCCATATCGCCCCCCCCCCCTTCTCTCTCCCATATCGCCCCACCCCCCCTTCTCTCCCTCACCCCACCCCCCCCTCCCTCTCTCCCATATCGCCCCATCCCCCCCTTCCCCCTCCCATAACCCCACCCCCCCTCCTCTCTCCCATATCGCCCCATCCCCCCCTTCTCTCTCTCCCATATCGCCCCACCCACCCCCTCTCCCCCATCAACCCCATCCACCCCCCTCCTCTCTCCCATACCCCCTTCCCATCCCCAACCCCCCTCCTCTCTCCCATATCGCCCCATCACCCCCTCCTCTCTCCCATATCCCCCATCCCCCCCTCCTCTCTCCCATATCGCCCCCTCCTCTCCCCCATATCGCCCCATTCCCCTATCCCTCTCCCATCACCCCCTCCTCTCTCCCATTCCCCCACCCCCCTTCTCTCTCATTCCCATCACCCCCCTTCTCTCCCATCACCCCTCCCCCCCTTCTCTCCCATTCCCACCCCCCCTTCTCTCCCATCACCACCCCATCACCCCCTCCTCTCTCCCATATCACCCCATCCCCCCTTCTCTCTCCCATATCGCCCTTCCCTTCCCCATCCCCCCTTCCCTGTCCCATCGACCCTTCCCGTCACTTCTTTCAGCATACCTTCTCCCATCATTAGCAGGTACCCAATGTCATTTGAACCCTCACCCCCCCCCCCCAAACACTCCCCAATGGTCTCCCGCCCTCCTCCGGGTGAGGTGGGCGAAGGTGACGCAACACACACGCGGGTCTCACCTCAGCACCGGTCCGGGCTCCGGAGGAGATCGGCGCAGGGAGGCCCGAACACCCCACCGCCAGGACAACCCACACTGACGTCACCAGCACGTGACAGCCCCACGCCGGAAGAGGTGGTACCGTAGGGGGAAGTGAGGCGTGGCGTCATACAGTTCGCTCCGCCCCGCCCACAGCGCAGCGACCCGCCCTCCGCTCCCTAGAACGCCAGAATCATGTGACCTCAGTGGGCGGGGAGAGCCATGTGTGAAAAGTGGATCCCCGCCCACTCTTCCCTAATGACTGAAGTGAGCCCGGCTGTATATGTAGACGGGGCGGGGCCAAGACTTCCGGTGTGATAGAGTCATACAAAGACGAATCCCATAGCAACGGGTGTTCCCATAGCAACCGGCTTATCTCAATTTTTTACACATGGTCCGGAAAAGAAACCGTAGGAGCTGATTGGCTGAGCTCAGACGCCTTCCTGTTAACCCTTTCAGTGCCAGAGCCCCGAATTCTGCATCGTAACCCCTTCAATGCCGGACCCCCCCACACATACGCACCACTTCCTGCCCAGGCCGGCTTTCAGTGCGGTCGCACTTTGGACGACAATTGCGCGGTCATGCGACGCCGCGCCCAGATGGGTTTTTATTGATTTTTACAATTTGGAGCTTTCTTTTGGTGGGATTTAACTGCTTCCTGACCGGACTATAGTGGAAGTACCGCTACAAGGCGGTGGAGTGCGCAAAATCACGCACACACATATATATATACACACACGTAATTTCGTATTTCCGGGTCGGGGGCGCGTGTGACATCCTACCCACGCTGCCATTGGTGGCTACAGCTGTCAATCACCAGGTCCTGGCCGGAGATTTCCCCGCCGGCACCCAGCGATCGACACGGCTCCACGGAGACACGGGGTAACGTTCGCCGTGTAAAGGCACTTTAAAAACATGAGTTGTTTAGAGGTTTTTTTTGACCAATATCGAATATATGTCAATATATTTGGGAAGAATATTTTTAAAATATATTTCAAATACATTTTCTTCCATGTGGGTAAACACAGAAAATTTTGTAACCTCTTCACGCCGGCCGAACGCAAATATGCGGCCTCCCAGGTTCCGGGCCTAGACGCCGAGCGGCCGCACATTGGCGTTCTATTAAAAAAAGGACATATGTGCCGAGAGCGCGCGCCCAGCACACGTGTCCGGTACTCACGGAAAGGTCCCGATCTCCTCTTTCGATCAGGACCTTTCCCGATCATGTGACGGCGCATCACGGCGGTCACATGACCCTAAACCCCGCCCCGCCAACCGGCTTCTGAAACCTGAAACTCTTAAAGGGTCGGGAGGCGCGGGCATGAAGGGGTGAACGACTTCCTGTATATAAACGGCTGGACAGGAGCATTGCAGGGGCGGGTGGACGTTTATAAACGCACAGCACCGCTGTGTCCTCTGTGTGAGGTCCCGATCTTGTGATCACTGATTGGCCAATCAGTGATCACATGCAGAGTAGTACACAAGATGTCACTTCTGACATCATTGCTTACTACGTGTGAAATCTGTGAATGATCACAGAGATCACATGGTACAGGGCTATTCACAACAGCCTTGTACCATGTGACAAGCTGGGACCAATCACAGCTCTCACAGTATTTCTCAATGGCTGCAAGAATGCAGCCAGAGAGAAGGAGAAATGATTCCTCTTACAGCCTTTATGGGTGTAAAAGCAATCAGTGGTGTAAAAAAAAATCTTCATCCCCCCCACAAGTAGTACAGTGTCACCATGGTGACAGTATGTAAAAAAAAAATAATAATATAATATAAAGAAAAAAAATAAAAATTGAAATATTATAATTTTTGGTTATAAAACTAATTTGGGTTATCATTTTTTTACTAAAAAGATAGCGGAATACATTTTGGCCAAGATTTATGAAGAAAGATTATTTGCTAAATATAAGAAAAACACTTTTTTTCAAATTTTTGGGACTTTTTCATTTATATAGCAAAAAAAATAAAAATCCCAGCGGTGAATAAATACCACCAAAATAAAGTTTTGTGTCTCAAAAGAAATGCTAAAAAATTCATCTGGGTACAGTGTTGCATGACCGCGCAATTGTCATTCAAAGTGTGATAGCGCTGAAAGCTGAAAACTGGCCTGGACAGGAAGGGGGGAAGTGTCCGGACAGGAAGGGGGGGAAAGTGTCCGGACTGGAAGGGGGTGAAAGTGTCCGGACTGGAAGGGGGGGAAAGTGTCCGGACTGGAAGGGGGGAAAGTGTCCGGACTGGAAGGGGGGGGAAAGTGTCCGGACTGGAAGGGGGGGGGAAGTGTCCGGACTAGAAGGGGGTGACAGTGTCCGGACTGGAAGGGGGGAGGGGAAAGTGTCTGGACTGGAAGGGGGGAAAGTGTCCGGACTGGAAGGGGGGGAAAGTGTCCGGACTAGAAGGGGGGGGAAGTGTCCGGACTGGAAGAGGGGGGGTGAACAGTTGTCCGGGACTGGAAGGGGGGAAAGTGTCCGGACCGGAAGGGGGGAAAGTGTCCGGACTGGAAGGGGGTGAAAGTGTCCGGACTGGAAGGGGGGGAAAGTGTCCGGACTGGAAGAGGGGGAAAAGGGTGAAAGTGTCCAGACTGGGGTGAAAGTGTCCAAGGGGGGAAAGTGTCCGGACTGGAAGGGGGTGAAAGTGTCCGGACTGGAAAGGGGGTGAAAAAGTGTCCGGACTGGAAGGGGGGAAAGTGTCCGGACTGGAAAAAAAGGGGTGAAAGTGTCCGGACTGGAAGGGGGGGGGGAAAGTGTCCGACCTGGAAAGGGGGTGAGAGTGTCCGGACTGGAAGGGGGGGGGGAGAAAGTGCCCGGACTGGAAGGGGGGGAAAGTAGCCCGACTGGAAGGGGGGGAAAAGTGTCTGGACTGGAAGGGGGTGAAAGTGTCCGGACTGGAAGGGGGGGGAAGCACCTGACATGGAAGGGGAGGGGGAAGTGTCTGGACTGGAAGGGGGTGGAAAGTGTCCGGACTGGAAGGGGGGAAAGTGTCCGGACTGGAAGGGGGAGGGAAAGTGTCCGGACTGGAAGGGGGGAAAGTGTCCGGACTGGAAGGGGGGTGTGAAAGTGTCCAGGACTGGAAGGGGGGGAAAGCTGTCGGATCTGGATGGGGGTGGAAGGGGACTGGAAGGGGGGGAAAGTGTCCGGACTGGAAGGGGGGAAGTGTCCGGACTGGAAGAAGGGGGGAAAGTGTCCGGACTGGAAGGGGGGAAAGTGTCCGGACTGGAAGTGGTTAAACATAAAAAAAAAAAAACTTTCCTGGAGGAACTTGGGGAAATTTTTACTGAGGAGTGGAGCAATGTCGATAGGAGGGGCTCCTTGCTGAACGAATCAGAAGATGTCAAATATTTTGAATCGGACCCCCTCTGGTGGAGGGGGGTGCAGCCTTGATGAGGTTAGCTAAGCACGTTACCCTCCTTCTCGAGGATTTGTTGTCCTTTAAGACAGTCTGGAAAGGAGAATCGGTTCTGATCTCAATCTACACTACAGCAGGGGATGGCTTGCAGGCCGGCTCTTGCCCTAGCAGCCTTATGCAAAGCTATGGAAGTGTGGTCAGATAACGTGGATGTGACTCTCAGAGGAGTTCCGGAAGAGGTGGCCAGGAATTCAGCCATCCCCCCGGGAGCTGAGGTTTTGACATCTGCCTTTCTGGGGGAGGCCTCGATCGACCTCACCTGTCTGCTGGCTCAGGTTATGCTTTCCTCAGTTACAGCCAAATGTGTGTTGTGACTTCAGCCCTGGTTGGCCCGATCTGGGCTCTAAGCAGGCATGGTACAAGATTCCTTTTGAGGGTTCCTTCCTGTTTGGGAACAAACTGGGACAGCGTTATAGCGCCGGCTACCGGCAGGAGGTCCGGTTTTCTGCCCCAGGATCGGTGTCTGCTAGGCCAGAAGAGGGCTCAGCCCAGAAGTCAGGGCTCGGAACGAGCAAGGGACACACGCCTCTATAAGCTGGGCCATGAATTCAAGAGAAGCCGGTCATTTTTTAAGAAGTCCTCCAAGGCTCGACCTCTGGAGGTCGTGAGGCCACAATGTCCTTTTGAGATTGGACCCCGCTCAGGCAGGCCAGGTGGCTGCATGCCTTTGCCATTTTTGGCATGTCTGGGTGGCTTCAAATCGGGACGTCTGGGCCATCAGATCGGTATCTTTAGGGCATTCAAGAGCCCTCCTCATCTCAGGTTCATCACTACGGCCCTTCCACATTTCGGAGAGAGGAAAATCCTGCTGTCCTACGTGGACTCTACTGGCACAGGGTGCCGTTTGTGTCGGTTCCGGAGGGCAAAAAATTTCAGGGCATGTATTCGTGTATTCGCCTCTCTTTATGGTCCAGAAAAGAAATGGGGCCTGGAAGGCCGGTCATAGATCTCACCCATCTAAATTCCTTCATCAGGAAGTCAAAATTCAAGATAGACACGCCGTTCACAATTCAACCAGGCGACTTGCACCTGTTTATAGATCTGAAAGACACCTACTTTCATGTGCCCATTACAGGAGATTTTCAGAGGTTCCTCCGATTTTGCTGTGAACCAAAGGCATCTCCAGTTCATGTGTCTTCCCTTTGGTCTTTCAACGTCGCCTTGTGTGTTTTCAAAAAAGTCTTGTTGGCGGTTGTCCTTCTCAAGTTTGGGTGGTTGAACATGGAAAAGAGCCAGTTGGAGCCCACGCAGTCTCTAATATTCCTCGGGGCTCACTTCGACACAGTCAGCAGCCAACATCCCTGCCCTTGGAGAAGATTTTGTTGATTTGGGAGCCAAATACTACCTGCCCTGTCCTCCTCACATCTTTGTTCCCTCCAATGCTTGAAAATCATTGGCACCATGACATCCGCAGCACCGATGGTGAAGTGAGCACAATGGAGAATGCGACCCTTCCAGAAGCACTTTCTTCAACAGCGGAACCTAGGCAACATGGGCCAGGTTGTTTACATAACTCCATCCATGAAGGAGAGCTACAATGGAAGAATCTGCTCAATTTCCACTCGATTGCCCCCAACTCCTGGGTCACAATCACAATAGATGCCAGCAACTCTGGATGGGTCTCTCTCTGCCAGTCGGAGATAGCTCAGGGCAGATGGAGCATTCCATCCCACAGGTTGGGGTCTAATGTCCTGGAATTGCGAGTGGCATTCTGTGCCCTATGGGCCTTTCATCACCTAACACAGGGGAAATCAGTCTCCCTGAGGTCTGACAATATGACAACAGTGTCCTACATAAGGAGACAGGGTAGGACCCACAGCCTGTCCCTCTTGTGAGAGGTAGAGCAAATCATGACCAGGGCTCAGAGAAACCTGTCCAATATACCAGCAGTATATGTCCTTGGAGTTCAGAACTCTCACAAGCAGACTTCCTATCCAGGCTTCAATTAGACAATGAGTTGTCTCTTGATACGGAAGTCTTCAAGTGGCTAGTGACCCTCAGGATTAGTCTGAAAGTCGACCTGTTTGCCTCCCTGTGCAACAGGAAACTGGAGATGTGCTACACCAGGAATTGATGTCCCCAGGCCTTCGGGGTGGATGCTCTGACGGATCAGTGGAGGTTTCACACAGCTTATGTGTTTTCCCCCGGTCCCTATCATTTTCAGGCTTTTTTCGGAGGCACAGAGCAGAAGTTATTTTGGTGGCGGTAGTAGCCGTAATTCCGTACTGGCAAAGAAGACCATGGTTTCCCTTACTGATGCAGCTCAGCTTTTGGGATCCGGTTCCTCTCCCTCTCAAGCCAGACCTGCTGTCACAGGGGGCCATTCTTCAACATTTGCCCAGCCCGGCTTCATCTAATGGTCTGGATCTTGAGAGGGGGAGCTGGAGGCCTTAGGCTGTCCTGCTGAAGTCATCCCTAACCTGATGAATGCCAGAAGACCAAATGCCAACAGGGTCTATGGAAGAGTTTGGTCTAAGTTCGTGGACTATATCTCAGCCGTGGGCGGTTCCTTTAGTAATCTGAGGTTTCAAGATGTCCTGAGATTCCTACAGTCAGGCCTGGACCTACCCTGTTGGTCGGCACCCTCAGGATTCAAGTGTCAGCCATCTTGGCCTTCACTGTAGTATCATGGGCTCACCACTCTCTTCTTCGGCAGTTCCTCAAGAGAGCAGTAAGGGTTGAGGCCCCAGAGAAATCCAAGGTTCCCTAAATGGGACCTCCTGCTTGTCCTCGACTTCTTCTCTGGAAGCATCCCAGAATCAGCTGGTCCACCCATAGTGAGGGAGCTCTCCATCAAGGAGGCCTTTCTGGTGGCGGTTACATCAGCAAAAAGAGTCTCTGAAATTGGGAATATTGGCTGCAAAGAATGTTTTTGACATTCTTCCCGGATCGAGTGGTCCTCATCCCTATGCTAGGCTTTAACCCTAAAGTGACATCGGTCTTCACGAAAACCTAGGAGATAGTCCTGCCTGCAACGTTTAGAGTCAATAACATTCACTTCCTGGACGTAGGTGAGACCTTAAAGCTGTAACATCCGTAAGTCGGACTGTCTATTCGTCCTTTTCCATGGGAAGAATAAAGGAGACCGGGCTTCTCCCTCCAAAAAATGCGTTTAAAAAAACAACACGGCAAAACTCCGCACAAACACGACACGGGTCAGGTTGCTCAACTGTGAACAGCCCAATAATGTCCCCATTCCTTTTGGATGCACCAACATTCTACCACCAGTAGATGGCAGTATTAGCACACAACTAGAGGCAGTGGTTGGTGGAAAGTATGAAAATGCTGATTAGTTGCAGATTGGTACATTGCAACTCCATCTTAACCCTTCAGTGTCTGTTGGGATCTCCTAATCAGAAATGTGAATCCCCCATCAGTCTGTGCACCAGAGGAGCTTACACTCTAATGTCCCCTCCCCGACAGTCACATCAGTCTCTGTACCAGAGGAGCTTACAATGTTCCCCTCCCCCCCATGTATTATACATGGAGATCATATCCCCCCTTATGTATTTATACATGGAGATCATATCCCCCTTATGTATTATACATGGAGATCATATCCCCCCTTATGTATTATACATGGAGATCTATATCCCCCCTTATGTATTATACATGGAGATCATATCCCCCCTTATGTATTATACATGGAGATCATATCCCCCTTATGTATTATACATGGAGATCATATCCCCCCCTTATGTATTATACATGGAGATCATATCCCCCCTTATGTATTATACATGGAGATCATATCCCCCTTATGTATTATACATGGAGATCATATCCCCCCTTTATGTATTATACATGGAGATCATATCCCCCCTTATGTATTATACATGGAGATCATATCCCCCCTTATGTATTATACATGGTGATCATATCCCCCCCCCTTATGTATTATACATGGAGATCATATCCCCCCCTTATGTATTATACATGGAGATCAATATATCCCCCTTATGTATTTATTATACATGGAGATCATATCCCCCCTTATGTATTATACATGGAGATCATATCCCCCCTCTATGTACTTATGTATTATACATGGAGATCATATCCCCCCCTTATGTATTATACACGGAGATCATATCCCCCCCCTTATGTATTATACATGGAGATCATATCCCCCTTTATGTATTTTATACATGGAGATCATATCCCCCCCCTTATGTATTATACATGGAGATCATATCCCCCCTTTATGTATTTACTATACATGGAGATCATATCCCCCCCTTATGTATTATACATGGAGATCATATCCCCCCTTATGTATTATACATGGAGATCATATCCCCCCTTATGTATTATACATGGAGATCATATCCCCCCTTATGTATTATACATGGAGATCATATCCCCCCTTATGTATTATACATGGAGATCATATCCCCCCTGTATGTATTATATGGAGATCATATCCCCCTTATGTATTATACATGGAGATCATATCCCCCCTTATGTATTATACATGGAGATCCATATCCCCCCTTATGTATTATACATGGAGATCATATCCCCCCCTTATGTATTATACATGGAGATCATATCCCCCCTTATGTATTATACATGGAGATCATATCCCCCCTTATGTATTATACATGGAGATCATATCCCCCCTTATGTATTATACATGGAGATCATATCCCCCCCTATGTATTATACATGGAGATCA